AAAAAAGGATAAGCTGCCTCATATTTCATTCAAAATAATTGAAGGGTAGGGAAAGGAAGTAGGTGAATGTGTTAGTTAAATATCAAGATGGCCTGATATTGTTAACTACTGAAACTCAGTGATGGATACAGCAGATTTGTAAATCATTTTATGTACATTTGCATAAATTTTCCATAATAGAGGATTTTTTAAAGTTTGAAAAATTTTGGATTGTCACAAATATGAAACTCTACTGAAGGTTTTATTAATCCAGAGAGTAACTCATAGAAAATAAAGCAAGAAGAAGAAAAGACTGGAAAATTGAATAAACAATTTTATAAATTAAAAAGGGAAGAAAGGAGGGGCTGGAGTTTCAGCTCAGCTGTAGAGTGTTTGCCTCGTATGTGTGAGGCACTGAGTTCGATTCTCAGCACCACATATAAATAAGTAAATAAAATAAAGGTCCTTCAACAACTAAAAAGTATTTTTTAAAAAGGGGGAAGAGAGGAAATGATGTCAGTAAATTAACAGTCTCTAGGAAAAGAGAGTAGAAGCAGATAAAGGAAAAAGATAATCTCAAAAATTAAAAGGCACAATTAAAATATATTCCAAATTAAAATACCCCAAACTCCAAAACTCCAACAAAATATTTAGGATCATTTTTAAGCCTGAAAACTATAAGAATATGATGCAGATTAGGATCACATATTTGCAAACTTTTTTTTTTTTGCTCAATAATATGAATTATCTTTGCTATGGTTTGAATCTTGAATGTCCCCAAAGGTCCATAGGTTAAAGGCTTGATGCCTAGGGTGGTGCCACTGGGAGGAGGTGGGACCTTTAAGAGGTGGGGTGGCTAGTGGGAGTCTTTGTGTCCTTTGGGGCTTGTCTTCCTAAGGAGATTGTGGAACCTCAGCTCCCTTCTTGCTTTCTTGCTTTCTTTGCCCTGGCTTGTGAGGTGAGCAGTTTTGCTCTGTCACACGTTGCCACCATGACGCGCTGCCTTGACACAGGCACAAAGCAATGGGGCCAAGTGATCATGCATTGAACTTCCAAAGAGATGAGCTAAATAAATCTCTTCTCTTCAAAGGTGATTCTCTCAGGTATTTATTATAATGATAGCTGTTGAATAACTAACACATGATCTTTCCGTTACTGTGAAAAATACCTAGGAAAATAAAATTAAAAGGAAGACAAGTTTATTTTGGCTCAGTTTCAGAAGTTTCAGTCCATGATCAGTTGGCTCTGTTGCTTTGGGGCCTGAGGCAGGGTGGAACATCATGGATCACATGGCAGCATGTGATAGAGAAAAGCTGATCACTTCAAGCTGGCTGGGAAGGAAGAAGACAGGAGAGGCCAGCATCCCAATATCCCATCCAAGGGCATGCCTCCAATGACCAAACTTTCTTCCACTAGGTCACACCACTCAATAGCATTATAGGTTGGGGACCAAGCCTTCAGGGACCATTAGGGGACATTCAAGATCCAAACTATAGCAGCAGATTAGGACACAATCTCCACTGAATCAGAAACCAATAGATTTGAGGGGATGATTTCCAAGATCAGTTTATAAGCACAACTTCACACAACATTTATACTCATGGCTCTGAGGCTTACGATAATGCTCACCAAATCTGTTGCTGCCCTGTTGGATCTATGCCTGTAGAGGGTTCATCCAGAAGCAAGATGGGTGAATTTCCCAGGATGCTCAGCACAAAACATAGCTGCAATGCAGAGAAACACCCCTGTTTGGCTTCATGCCATGCAAGCCCTGAGAAGAACATCAAATATCACATGTACCTTTTTGGTGGTTCCTGATGCTAATTTCTGCACTGGAACATTTAGCTGCTCATACAGGTTGAAAGCATTCACTAGTCTGATAGAAAACAGGATAAGCATATGAGGTCAAGCAAGAATTTCTGGAAAATGCAAGCCTATAATCCTAACAGAACTGAAGGAACTCATGGAAACACTATTCTCAAAATGCTAAGTCATGCCCCAAACTCAAAGTCATGATAAAGATAAAACCTCTTCATTTTGGAACATAATATTTTTCACCTTATAAAAAAAGTTTTAAAGAAAAACTAGAATTCTAGAAATCTGAATGAGAAACTGAAAATGGATGTTTATTCAGTTTCCAGTTTTTTATTAGAAAGACTGAAATGAATGGTTATGCATGATTTCATTAACTTATTCCTTGGCAATAATTTATATAATCATTTTTAAAAATTTCCTCTTTCAGGGATGCAGGAAACCACGTCTTGTCCTTCATCCCTGTTCTACCACCAATGCTCTGAAAAGGTGTAAATGCCTTCTCACTCTCCACTCTTTATTGGTGAGTTCATCATCAATGATACAGCTTCCCTGCCTCTTGGCAAAAAGGAATCGCAGGACCTCTCTGTACCGTGAAATCACAATGGCAGCGTCCTCTTTCTGCAGCCCTTTCACAGTGGCATACACCTCCAGGTGTTCCTTCATTGTCAGGGTGGGCCACAGCACATTCTCCTGAGGACAGTACCCCAGGAACTTGACCATGCCATCTCCCTGCTGACCCAGAAATGACTTGCATTCCCCAACTCTCAGTTCCACCTACAAAGGTAAAACAGTTTTTAAAACATGTAGCCTTTTCTCCAGTGGTACAAGTAATCAAAAAACTGACACATAGCTAAAAAATGCCTAAACTGTCAGATCATCAAAGGAATACCCTAGAAATTGCTTCCTATTTATTATAGAAAGCATGTACTCTATTGATATAAAATTACATTCTGACATGTAGGGAGTTGGGAGGCCTAATAAGCCTCAGGGGTTTCCAAGATATTGTGATGAAGAAAAGGTATTTGGTTTCTGGGGACATCCCAACTTCTTTTATAAACCTTTAAATGCCTGGAGAAAGTAATAAAAGAGGGAAAATAAAAATATCCAAAATATAAAAAACTATAGACTTACAATGATATAACCTATATTGATCATGAAATTTCTGTGCTGGGATTGGAAGGCATTTCTTTGCTTCTCAGTACCTGTCCTGCTGTTGGCTTTGTGATCCCAGCTATCATCCTAATAGAAGAACTTTTACCAGCACCATTGGGTCCTAGCAATCCCAAAACTTCACCTGCAAAAAAGAATCAGTTTATTAATAGTGGAAGTGAATTCACAGTTTACATAAACCTGTTTCTTCAATGTAATCACATCTGTGCAGCTGACAGTATCATTTTATAATTTGTAATATATATGTAATCCATGTTGCCAAAACATTAATTCTTATGATTATATAAAATATTAGCAAAAAGTTTATAAAGTTGATGTCAATACATTTATCTTCATTCACTGAGACTTCCTATTTCCGTTAAAAATGTACCCAAATTGTTTTCTATAGTAGTACAGACATAAATGATTCCTATACCTGGGAAGTCAGGGACACTTCATCCCAAATCCAATCACCCATGCCCAAACTACTATGACCATTCATCCAAGCAGATATAAATTGCCCCCTACTCAAATTCAGGAACAGTAGTAGCCAGCATGTGTATTCTCAAAATATAAATTAAACAATGACACAGGCCTGCTAAAAGTACTCCAATTGTAGTCCTTAACTTGGAATGAAATATGAATTTCTTTTTTTTCATATTTTTAAATTTTAAATTGATTTTTAAAAAATAAATGACAGCAGAGTGCATTAAAATTCTTATTACACATATACAGAACAAGTTTTCATATCTCTATTTGTATTAAAGTATGTTCAATTCATGTTTTCATACATGTACTTTGGATAATGATGTCCATCACATTCCACCATCCTTGTCAACCCCTGCCTCCTCCCTTCACCTCTCACCCCTCTGCTCTATCTAGAGTTCTTCTATCCGTCCCTACCCCACTATGAATCAGCCTCCTTGTAGCAGAGAAAACATTTGGCATCTGTTTTGGGGGGATTGGCTAACGTCACTTAGTATTATCTTCTCCAACGCCTCCATTTACCTGCAAATGCCATGGTTTTATTATCTTTTATTGCTGAGTAATATTCCATTGTGTATATATGCCACATTTTTTTATCCATTCATCTATTGAAGAACATCTAGGTTGGTTCCACAGTTTAGCTATTGTGAATTGTGCTGCTATAAACATTGATGTGGCTGTGTCCCTATAGTATGCTGTTTTTAAGTCCTTTGTGTATAGATCAAGGAGAGTGATAGCTGAGTCAAATGGTGTTTCTACTCCCAGATTTCCAAGGAATCTCCATACTGCTTTCCATATTGGCTGCACCAATTTGCAGTCCCACCAGCAATGTTTAGTGTACCTTTTTCCCCACATCCTCGCCAACACTTATTGTTGTTTGTCTTCATAATAACTGCCATTCTGACTGGAATGAGATGATATCTTAGCTCTTGGATAGGCAGAATTAATATTATAAAAATAACCATACTATCAAAAGCACAAAAGTATCTATAGAAATAGAAAAAGCAATCATGAAATTCATTTGGAAATATTGAGACCCAGAATAGAGACCCAGAATAGCTAAAGCAATCCTTAACAGGAAGAGTGAAGTAGGTGGCATCCCTATATCAGACCTTAAACTATACTACAAGCAATAGTAACAAAGACAGCATGGTATTGGCACCCACCAAAACAGACTGGTAGACCAACGGTACAGAATAGAGGACACAGAGACGATCCCACAAAATTACAATTATCTTATATTAGACAAAGGTGCCAAAAACATGCACTGGAGAAAAGATAGCCTCTTCAACAAATGGTGCTGGGAAAACTGGAAATCCAGATGCAACAAAATGAAATTAAACCCCTATCTCTCACCAGACACAAAACTCAGCTCAAAGTGGATCAAAGACCTAGGAATTAAACCAGAGATTCTGAGTCTAATAGAAGAAAAAGTAGGCCCTAATCTTCATCATGTGGGATTAGGCCCCGATTTCCTCAATAAGACTCCTATAGTGCAAGAATTAAAATCAAGAATCAATAAATGGGATGGATTCAAACTAAAAAGTTTCTTCTCAGCAAAAGAAACCATCTGTGAGGTGAATAGAGAGCCTACATCTTAGGAGCAAATCTTTACCCCTTACACATCAGATAGAGCACTAATCTCTAGGGTATATAAAGAACTCAAAAAGCTAAGCACCAAAAAAAAAAAAAAATAATAATCCAATCAACAAATGGGCCAAGGACCTGAACAAACACTTCTCAGAAGAGGATATACAATCAATCAACAAATATATGAAAAAGTGTTCATCATCTCTAGGAATTAGAGAAATGCAAATAAAAAATATTCTGTTTTTAAAAGCTTATCCCACCCAGCCCCACGCATAGTTTGATTTCCTCCCTTCTATTCTCAGATGCACCCACTGGCCTCTCTGAGACACAAATGCTCCTGATGTGTTGATATGAATCCCTGCCCTTGAAGTTTCCTCTACCTGGGTGCTCTGATCTTTTAATGCTCACATGGACTCACACCTTCTTATCACCAGATCTGGCTTTACTGTCACTGCCCTAATATGTCTTCCCTGACCTTAACCAAACACTGTTCCACATCATTCATGTCATTTAAAATATTTCAGTTTTCCACATTAACTTACTTGATATCTGATAATTTTCTTTGTAAGTTATTTTATTTATGGATTCTTTGTAGGATGTAAAACTTGCTAGGCTAGAATATTTGCCTATTTTCTCCATAATTATTTTTCCAGATCCTAAAATAATCCCTGGGAAACTTAAAAAGTATGTCAGATAAATGAGTGAATGAAGGCCTTTGCAAATTAAACAATGCTGACAGCATAGATGCTCAGTGGATATTTCTAAATACAAGTGTCATTTAAAAATGTGGTTATCACAGACCTTTTTTCACACAGAAAGATATATTTCTTGCTGCTATTTTCTTCTTCCTCTTTGAAAAGCAACTTTTCCTCTGGCCTGCATACTCTTTGTGTAGACAGCTGGCAATTATGACTGGATTCTAGAAAAGATAACAGCATGATGTGTTGCTATGATCTCCCTGCTAGGACCTTTCATGACTTATGTCATAGACAACACCATATTTTGAAAGAGTAATCCATAAAGTTTGTTACAAATGTAATATGCATTCATTAACATGAATAGTGTCCTATTTCTAAATAGACTGAGAAAATATGAATGACCTTGCCAGAAGAGAGTGGCCAAGCTCATGGAAACATCACGACCTCCAACTCACAGAATGAAAGACTAACCCTTAAAATCTTAATCTCCACTTAGTATTTTATAACAAATCTCACATTAATTATTCAACTCAAGAAGATTTGTTCAGTTTTAAAATGCAAGCACTAATTGTCAAAACTCATTTTCTCAAAAGAAGAATAAAATCATTATGTTTTGTGTTCTTTTATCTTCCAAAGAAGTGTCTGCATATTTAAGGATTAAAAACACACCAAACTCCAAACATTCAAAATGAAAACCAAGATATGGAACTCTAAGTTGGATACTTCTTGGGTATTTCCAGTAACATGCTTTATTTCTTGCTTTTCTACCTCATTTACGTTTGAAGTGGTCAGGGCACTTGATGCTCTCATTCTTTCTGCTTGAACATCTTCATCTTCATCTTCATCTACATGTATTTCTGGATTAAGTGGAACATTTTGAATTTGTGGGGAGATTCTGGAGAAAAATTGAAATGTTACATGTGATTCTCCACTTGTCAAAGACATCAAAAGTCAGTGTTTCAGCCAGATGTGGTGGTGCATGCCTGTAATTCCAGCAGTTCAGGAGGCTGAGGCAGGAGGATTGAGAATTCAAAGCCAACCTCAGCAACTCAACAAGGCCTTAAGCAACTCAGCAAGACCCTGTCTCTAAATAAAATATAAAAAGGACTGGAGATGTGACTCAGTGGTTAAGCACCCCTGAATTCAATCCCTGGTACCAAAAGAAAAAAAAAGTCAGTGTCCCTGTAATTTTCCAAGTGTCCTTTCTTTTATTAGACTGGTGGTGATTATAACTGCCAGTGTTTCTTCTGCTTTGCTGAGAACTCCCGTCCCACTAGCCAGAATCCGTCTCTTCCAGTAAGTGGATTTGACCTTTCAAACTCATCAGCAAATACTGCTCCTTCCTCTTGACAATGCAACTCATTCTCATGCCTCTGCTTGCTCTCAGCCCATCTTCATCAGGCCCATTGTGTCAACATCTTTCACTGTTCAGTCTTTCCAGAGCCCTCCACTTGTGAAATACTATGAACTACTTTGCTAAATCAATGCATCCTACCTAGTCTGTTCAAGAGTGCACACTCTTGGATGGGCTAATGGTGTGTTTGGGTGCTCGCCATATTTTTGAGAAACTAAAGTCTCCCTCAGCAGCTTAGAGGCCAAGTTCTCCCAGAACTCTGAATTCCTGGCAGTAAACCAGAAATCCATTGATCATAATGCCAAACATCATACTGCTTAGATTGTACACATAAATCCATAATCACAAGCTGACAGTACAGCCACCACCTAGGAATATTAAAGTATGATATCAAATATAAAATTAAAAATTTTACCAACCTGAAAACAGGATCTTTTCGTATTACTTTCTGTCCACATTTTAGTTCCATGCATCTTAGAATAAACACCAATAGCAAAGCCTGGACATAAGGCTAAGAGACAAGAAAAGAGTTTTATTTAACATCAGTTCAGAAATGTAACTTAAACATTCATGTGAAATTGGTGGTGTTTGTCAGGTAACATTGTTGTGAATTCTTATAAGTCAGTGGGGAAACCTAGTTATTCAGTCACAATCTGTCTCAGTGAACCTGCCTCCTTTGTTCTGCTCACAACCCACATTCAGTCTGTCAGTAAATTCTGCCTGCTTCATCTTCAAAATTATTCATAAGTCAACTACTTCTCACCCCTACTGTGTTATTCCTACCTGGGTCATTATTATTTGTCATCTGGATAATTACAACATGTTCCCACCTGGTCTCTCTCAGCTCCTCTTAACCTAAACATCCCTTCTCACCAGTCACCAGAGCTATTCTTCAATACGTAAGTCTGATTGTACCACATTGCCTAAGACCCTTCAGACTCCTCCATCACTCAAAGTAGTGTTGGTGTCCTTAGAGTGGCCCAGACTGCTCTGTGTGGCCCCGTCTCCCAACTCTACACTTACTCCACTGCCTCTGTGACTATCTCTCCTATGACTCTGCCCCTCGCTTGCTCTGCCTAAACCACACTGGCCTCCCAGATGACCCAGGGACAAACAAAGGTCACTCTTGCCATCTCCTGGAATGTTCTTCTCCAAGCCTTTCCTGGCCACCCATCTAACACAGTACATATAATTTAATTAGATTACCACCTATCTACTTCACCCAAATATAAGGTCTCTGAGAACAGGGATGTCTATGTTTTTTTTACACCTAGAGAAGTCTGACACAGAGTATTTAAAAATAGTAGTTTTTCTCAGCCTGAAATTGCTAACATAATCATTTTTCTATTTCATTCTTGTTCAACTTTTGTCTTTTCATCTAATTTCAAAAGATTTAATTTATATTGTATCTGTATTTTTTTTTTACAAGCTTTCTTAAATACAGTGGAGGCAGTAAACAGGAGAAACAAAAATTAATTTTATGTTGAATTCTGGTCTTATACACTCTAGTCATGCATATAAGAAGTAATTCTAAGGTTTAAGTTTATATCCAAATGTAATTGATTTATCTAAGACTTTATTTGAAACACTTTCAGAGCCGGTATATCCTAGACAAGATCATATAGTTATAGTAAATGACAGCCATTCAAAAGAGTATGTGGTGAGGTAATAAGATCCTCTTACTATTAGGCACACTAGAAGATCAACAGCACTCAGGTGAAATTTGAATTCTTGAAATTCTTCATGGTATTCCTGTGCTCTCTGAAAAGGCCAAAAAAAGGGGTGGGGGCTAAGTGAAAATCATCTTCTTTATAATTTGTACTTAAATAATATGAAATTTCACAAGTTGACTTGACTGATTTCTTCATTAAGCTCAATTCCTCTATGTACATTAGAGACAAATTCTCAGCAGAGAAACAGGGAAGCCTCCTACTCAAGTCTCTATTTCTCAATGAGCAGGCAACCTCCTCTCCTCTAATTAAAACAAAACAAAACAAAAAAAACAACTCTGGGTTTAAAGACCAAAACATTTGCTGAAATTCCACTGAAGTCATGGCAGAGAGAGGTGTAGGCAGCGTGAAAATAGTGTCCCACAAAAGCCTATTCACAGGGTCCCTTCTCCCTACATGGTGACCATTTCCCATCATAATAAATAGCACTATCATGTTATTCTTTCTTCATCAGTCAATTCATTCATAGAGTAACTCATTCCTCCTAATATGTGATAGATCTAGATTAATGGATTTCCCATTGCTGATTTCTACTTGTATTTTAAAAGCAAAATGCTTTAAGCAAAGGGCTGAGTATACAGTCAAGAACTCCATACATCCCTCAGTTGATGTAGAAGTATTTTTGTTTTGATGCCTTTGCTTCCCTCTGTAGAACATGCTTACTCCCTGCCTCACTCCCTGACACATTAACTTTTAATTATCCTTTAGGAATGTATGGGAACATCAAGTCCCCATAAGAATTCTGACTTTCCAGAGCACATTGGCTGAACTTTGCATGTTCTCCCTTGGCCCTCTGCCCTTCTCCTTTGTAACCTTTAAGTTTGTTGTGTTCACTTTCTGGAAGTTGATCTTTGTCTCCTCTAAACTCTGTGAAAGGAAGGACTATGGGATCTTGTTCATCAGGTGTCCTAATGCTTAGCAGAATAGTGTTTGATACATGTTTTTGAATACCTAGATGGTAGGATGCATGAATTTATCCTCAGAGTGGATAATGAATACTCATTGACCCAGAGAGCTCTTTTAAATCTGATGTTAGATTTCAGTAGCATTTAATGGGGCATATATTTTTGCAAGGTGCATAGAAGAAGGCTTTTTTTAATAGCTTTATGAGGATCAATTTTCACCATAATATTTACCCATTTTAAGCACACAATTCTAGGATGTTTGTAAGTTTACAAAGCTGTGGAGAATCATACTTCAAGTTTAGAACATTTTAGTCATCCCAGAGAAATACCTCATGGTCATTTTATATCACTTCCAATTCAAACTAATCCACTTTCTATCCTTGTAGATCTTGGAGAAGCACTTCCATAGGCTACATATACATTATCAAGGACACAGATGGTAAGACTTCTTACCTTTGACAGGAAGAGTAGAAATACTTCCAAAGTAGATGATGGAAGTAATACCATGCTGACAATGATCACAGTTATGTTGAAGTCACTGACTAAAATGATGTAAGGCATGACAGTCAAGACCTACAAGGAAAGTCCAAATATATTACATCAAACACACTCAGCCCATAGACACTTAAGAAATCATTAAGGCATAAAGGCTCTTATCACATATATCAGAATTTCACCATATGCAAACATACTTACATGCCATCACTGTGTCCACTTCCAGAGAAAGAAAGGAGGAGGAGCTTTTGTTAATGAGAATATACATGATTTTTTAACTTCCCAACAGAAAATTTTAATTTTATCTTTGTTAATATGTATTAATTGCGCATATTAATGTGTTCATTGTGACTTTCTTTTTCTTTTCCATCTTTTTTATTGGTCCTAGGGATTGAACCCAGGACCCAGGTCTCACTCATGCTAAGCATGTGCTTTACTACTGAGCTATACCCGCAGCCCCGGTGGTATTTGAACATATGAATATGGCATGTACTGCCTAATCAGGGGAACCCCTTACGTTTGTAACCTTTGAACTCCTCTCTTCTAGATATTAATAAAATACATAATAGATTGTTGTGAACTTTAGTCAACCTACTGAGCTGTGGAACACCATAAGTTATTCTGTTTTGGTCCCTGCTACCCAAACTGCCTTTATTTGCCTTCCCTTTTTTATCCTTTCCAACCTCCAGTAATCACTAATCTACATCCAAAGTAACTATTTTTTTAGCTCCTACATATGAGAGAGAACATAATGGCATTTTTGTGTGTGTGTGTGTGTGTGTGTCTGGATAATTTCACTCAGCATACTGCCCTCCAAGTTCATTCATTTTGCTGCAAAAAACAAAATTTCATTGTTTTGTTTTTTGGGGTTTTTTTTTGCATCAGGAATTGAACCCAGGGGTGCTTGAACACTGAACCACCCTCTCATCCCTTTTTATTTTGAGACAGAGTCTCACTAATTTGCTTAGGGCCTTGCTAAATTGCTCAGGCTGGCTTTGAACTTGATATCCTCCTGCCTGAAACTCTCCAGCTGCTGGGATTATAGGCATTTGCCACCTCATCCACCTATAAAATAGTTTTGATTTGCATTCCCCTAATGGATGATGAGCTTTTCTCTCTCTTTCATTCCTTTTTCTTTCTTTCTTTCTTTCCTTCCTTCCTTTCTTTGGATTTTTGTTGTCTATCTGTATGCTTTAGAGAAGTATATGTTCATATCATTCGTCCATTTTTTATTGGATTACTTGTCATTTTGTTGTGGAATTTTTTGAGTTCCTTATATATTCTGGATATTAATCCAGGATTAATAAAAACATTAAAAAATGAAGAAACTTCTGCACCACAAAGGGAACAATCAACAAAGTGAGAAGATGTTTATAGAATGGGAGAAAATATTTGCCAACTATTAGTCTCACAAGAAAATTTCTAATAGATGAAGAGATTGAAGATTAAAGGAATATTTAAAATGACCAAATAGACTTCCTGACCCAGTATTCAATTCAACCAAAGATGTCAGGATAAAAAGAGGAATGAGCTTTTTAAAGCTAAGGTAACAATAATAATGTGTAAATCCTGTATAAATTGAAAGTTACATGGGCAGTTATTTTAAAAATCCATCTTACCATTTTGCCTCTCACCTAGACTATCACAAAGCTTTGCCACTGTCCTGCCTAATACATTTCATCCCAATTCCAACTAAGTGCTTTTTCTGAGATTGTGCATTTTCATAGCAATAGACTCATTTTCTTTTAGAATACTGGTAAATGGGAGAAGAGGATAAAAATAACTTTTTATTTTTCTGTTTTGAGGGTCAATTTATCAGCCAACAAGTATGTATTAAGCATTAAAACTTCTGCTAGATCTAGTAATGTACGATTTGAATAAAAATTCTAATTTCTAGGTTCACTGAATATTACATTAATGCCAGGAATGAATAAAACCTGAATTACTTACTTTAATCCTTACAATAACTCTATAATGTACTAACTGTTATCTTCTATTTATAAATGAGAAATCTAGGGTTCAGAGATGTTAGAGATAGTCAGACACTAAGAGATGGTAGGATTCAAAACCACACAGCAAATACAAGATTGGAGTTCAAAACTCTAGGTGTAAATTTGTAAGTTTTAATGTCTTAGACTTATGTTGAAGTTTTCATTTAGAAACAAGTGAGACTAGGATGAGTTTTTGTTTTAGTGTTGCCAGGAAGCCCTATATTGTGAAGTATCTATACATTCAATAGTGTATTTTATATTTCAGGACTTCTATTAAGTATTTCATGAACTCTCTAGAAAGGGTTGTAACTAAATTATTTAGGAACATCACTAACTTGATACCATGAGTTACCTTTGCCCTCCTTTCGACAGTGCAATTTTAAAGTGCAGGTTTAAGTACCCCTTATCTGAAATTCTTGGGACCAGAAATGTTTGGGTTTGGAGCATTTTGGATTTTGAGATTTAACTTCTATTGTTAAGACAAGTTACTTAAGACAAAGGTGACTATGTGGGATATTACATTGGCAGTTCAGAAATAAATATATCTCTAGTATGTATGTATAATAATGTATGTGCACTTACAACATAGAAGCAAAATGACCAGAGGCCACTGTTTTTTCTCCTCTTACGAAAAATAAATGATATCACATATGTCAGGAAGATAAGAGAAGCTGAATAACCAAGTGATACAACAACCTGAAGAAATACAAAAAAATTTCAGGATCAAAAAATGAAATATTATCTGAAGAAATAAAATCACATTACAAATATTTTAAAGATATTTTGTTGCACATGAACTTTGCAAGCATTTTTTTGGTTTATGGTAAAATAAAGATGAAATTACCATCATTATAGAAAACTTAATGTTAAAATTCATTATTAATTACCTTAAAAATCTATGTAATATGTTACTTACCATAGCAAATATACCTTGACTTGTAACAGAAATGCCCATTTTGTTTGTTATGCAGATGATTAAATACATTAAAAGGAGAATTAAATTGAAGAGGTTAACATCCACCACTGCCTGTCCACACCAGTAAGCAGAGGGGTAGAGGCCTGAAATCCATAGCTGAGAACTAGCTTTCTTCTGATGAGAGAACACAGAATATATATATAGGTTCAAGTAAAATGCAAATAAAAAAGAAATAAATTGGAAGAATTTTTAAGATATATAATCTAACCTTCTAATTTTTTAAAAATAATATGTAGTGTATATAAATACATATAATTATTATGCTGTATGTGTGTGTATAAATGTATGTGTGTTTACTATTTGCATACTGTATGTTTATAGTTAACATATTAGTCAGGAAACTGAGGTCTACAGATACAGTTACATAAATGTGGCCATTTTTAAAATGTGCTTTGTTTTATTTGGTAGGTTTTATTTTATTTATTTTCTATTCACTATTCAGATATTTTCTCAAAGCATTAAGCTCCGGGGCAAGGGATGTGGCTCAAGTGGTAGCACGCTCTCCTAGCACAAGTGAGGCACTGGGTTCGATACTCAGCACCACATAAAAATTAAAAAAAAAAGAAGATATTTGTGTCCACCTAAAATA